TGACACAAAAAGAGCCAGGTGGATCAAGAGCGTACAAGATTCAGAAACAAGCCCACAGAGTCCAGTCATCTGATATATGCAAAGGTATCCAAAACCTACACTGGAGAAAAGACCATGTCTTCAACAAAGGTGTTGGGAAAAATGGATATCCACATCTAGGAGACTGAAATTAGATCCATGATCTGAAAGTTAAGACCTGAAACTGTGAAACTGCTAGAGGAAAATAGGGAAAATCCTTGTAGATACAGGTAATGCTTTTCTGCCTAGAACCCCAATTGCTCAGAAAATAAGAACGAGAATCAAAGTTGGGTGCTGGTACCCAACTCATACCTGTAATCCTAGCTATTTGGGAGGCTGAGATCCAGAGAATCAAATTTTCAGGCAAGCCCCAGCAAACAGTGTGTGAGACTCTATATCTCCAAAATAACCAGAGCAAAATGGACTGGAGGTGTGGCTCAGCAGTAGAACACCTGTTTGTGAGTGCTAAGCCCTGAGTTCAAACCCCAGACTCACCAAAAAAACAAAAAACCTGAAAAACAGGATTGCATCAAATTAAAAAGCTTCTAACAGCAAAGGAAACTACCACAATCGAAAGAAAGCCTACAGTATGGGAGAAAATCTTTGTCAATTATTCACTGGATATAGGATTAACTGTGAAAAGAACAAATACTCCATTTAGTAAATAGGCAAATGAATCAAATGGTTTTCTAAAGTACAGGTGGCTAATGAATACACAACAGAATGCTCTACATCCTCAGCCACAGAGGAAACGCAAATCAAAACATCACCGAGATTCCATCTCACCCCAGTCAAAACCGCTAAGATCAAGAAAACCAACAACAACAAATGCTGGCAAGGATCTGAGGGGGGAAAAGCAACCCTTAGAAGCTGTTGTGGCAATATAATTATCACAGCCACTTATGGAAATCAGTATGGAGGTTCCTTAAAAAAACTAAAGCTAGTTCTGCTCTACCACGTCTGGACATACATCTGAAGGAATGTAAGTCAACATAAATGAGGTACCTGTACATTCATGTTTATAGCAGCACAATTCATAATAGCAAAAATAAGGAATTGGCCTAGGTACCTATCAACTGATGAATGAATAAAGAAAATATGGTACACATACACAATGGAGTATTACTCAGCATAAAGAAGAATGAAATTATGCAGGAAAATGGATGTTAAGTGAAGTAAGCCAGACAAAGAAAGACAATTATCCTAAATTCTCTTTCATATGTGAGATATAATCTATAAAAGTGAATAACAGAAATGTAAACTAGGTCCTGTGTAGGGAAGGATATCAATGAGAATGAGGAGAGTAAAAGGAGAAGGTAAAGGGGTGGGTGAATACAGTCAAAACCTCTTTGCACTTACATATGAAATATAACTAATTATGAAATCTGTTGATTTTGGGGGGCAGGGAATAGAACTGAAGTTTGAACTCAGGACTCTGTATTAACAAAACAGAAGCTCTACTGCTTGAGTCACACCTCCAGTCCATTTTGCTCTTAGAAATGGGGTCTCTAGAACTATTTGCCTAGGCTGGCCTCAAACCAAGATTCTCCTGATCTCAGCCACTCAAGAAGCTAGGATTACAGGTGTGAGCCACCAGCCCCTGGCTTCCTTTTAAAATTTTTTAAGAAGGGGAAAGGATAAAGGGAGTGAATTTGATCGAGGTGTATTATATGCATGTGTGTGTGGAAGGATCACAATGAAACTCACTTGTACAACTGTAATATACTAATAAAAAAACCTCACAAAAAATAGAAATGTTAACAGTAGGGGAAAAAAGATCCCAGCACCTGCATACATATTTATAAATAATGCATTTTAAAAATTTACTTTCAAATTTTCTGCCACCGAGCTACACCATGAGTTCCCTGAGGCTCACTCTTGCCTACAAGCCATCCCATAATGGCACTAGAAGCAACATCATTTGCAGATTCTTAACTCACAGTGTTTAATGGCAGGGGGCCGTACTGGGGTTTGACCTTAGGCTTCATGTTTACTGGTAAGGTGCTCCACCACTTGAGCTATGCCCCTAACCCAACTCAAAGCTACTAAAAAGCTATATAATAAAAAAAAGAATAACATCAGGGCTGGGAGTGCGGCAAAAGTGCTAGAGTGCTTCCCTAGCATGTGTGGGGCCCTAGGTTCAATCCCCAGTCCCATTAAAAAAAAAAAAGTATCAGCCTTCTGACAAATCAGAATATTTGGTAGAATTATCAGTATAAGAACCTCTAATTCCACCTGACAGAAAAAAGTTAAGCAACAGTATCCTAAGTAGCTGGAACTTACTTGCTAATTTTATTTAAAAATCACACTCTCAGAGTACTATATACTACACAGGTCAAAATTTATGCTAGTTTAGATCAGATATACTCAATATAAAATGCACCTAAATCTAAATTATTCTGTATTTTCCCCAGGAAGGTTAATATAAACAAGCAATTTAGGGCTGGGGGCATGGCTCAAATGGCAAAGCACCTAAGTTCAAACCCCAATACTGCAAAAAATAAATAAATAAAGTAAATAAACAAGCATTTTACTTACACTATTTGTAGCAGCAAATTCTCTTTGCCCATCTCGAACTTCAGGAACAAATTTCTGTAATAAAGCTTTTTGTACTTTCCAAATAGCTGGGGGTTCTTTTCCTATTTTTAAGGCTTCCTATAATAAACAGAATTAATTACATATACAGAAAGTATAAATGTATTTCAATTTTTACAGAATATCTTACGGCTGAAAGGAATATTAAAAACCTACCTAGCTCAATTATTATCTCTAGTTGAGTTTGTACAATAATTCTTTTTTGCCCCTTTGCAATGTTAAGACCTTAGGCATGGAAGGCACGTGTTCTACCACTGAGTAACCTTTCCCCACTCCTACCAATAATTCTTGTAAGCTGGTTAGGCCACTCAGTCATTGCTTAAATTCTTCCAGAATTAAGTAGTTCACCAACACAAACACACTTTTAGTTTTGTATAGCTAAAACTATTGGAAAAGTCTTCTGCTAATGACAGTCATGTATTATTTATGAAATATTATAAGAGTATGTACATATTTTAAAAGACCAGAAACAAACTAAACTTTTAATAACTGTTAATTGTGAATGGTAGGAAAATAAACTTGAATTTTTTTCTTTCTCATGTCATCTCTCCACCCCAACTTAAAAAAAAAGGGCAAAAACAAAAAAATATGAAAATATATCATGTTAAGCATAGCCAAAATTTTCTTGCACAAAACTGTAACATTCTACTCACGGCGCTACAATTTAACATGATGAAATTAACCAAGCGCTGGTGGCTCACACCACTTGAGAGCTACTTGGGAGGCTGAGATTAGGAGGATCGTGTTTTAAAACCAACCTGGGGAAATAGTTCTCAAGTCCCTATCTCCAAAATAACAACAGCAAAATGGAGTGGAAGTGTGGCTCAAGCTGTAGAACGTGTGCTTTGCATGCACAAGCCCTGAGTTCAAACCCCAGTTCCACCAAAAAATAAAATAATGAAATTAGATCTAATACACTTTTAGATCTTTTACACTTTTACACTTTCAAATTATAGAAATAAACATCTTCTCCAAACTCCTAATGTCATATTAAGCTGGGAGATGCAGAAAAAAAAAAAATTAACATTTCAAAACTGCTGAATACTGGGGGTATGGCTCAAGAGGTATAACATCTGCCTAACAAACATGGACACTGAGTTCAAATCCCAACACTGCCAACAAAAAAAGAAAAACTGCTGTAATTAACACACCAAATGCAACCAACTAGTAGGAAATACATAAACCAAGATAAAGTTAAAATAATTTTCACATCACCTTAAATGTCTCTATGTCTTCTATCTTTACCACAAATTCATCACGCTCTCTGTATTGGCCTTCTCCACCACTTTCTGTGTTCTCCTCATCTGTAAGACCTTCTATGGCAACAGTGTCCTGTCCCTTTGCAAACTGCTCTGAAGGAAGACCATCAAGTCCAATTGGTTTTGGCGGTTCTGTGGAGTTTATATTTTCCAGAATGTTTACTGCAGATGAAGTAGAGTGGAGAGTGTCTTGTTTAACTGCACCAACAGTGGCGGAGGAAACAGTAGTAGTACCAGTAGTACTGGCAGATGGGCCAGGAGTTGCCCCAGGCGTGGCCTCTAAAACTAAATCAAGCAAATGTCAATCAGTAATACAAATATTTAAACATGTACATGTTTTCAGTGAAATCTGAAGAGATAAGACTTGGTTATTTTTGCAATCAAATGGTTCAAATAATACCACAAAAATGAAAAGAAAGGCTGTTACTCTAAGAATGAAAGATGTGCAAATTAAATCTGGATGACAGAAGACTGCAATGCAAGCCTGCATCTGTGTACCAATCCTTCTCTCAAAATCTATTTTAAGTAGATTAGAGACAATTTTAAAAGAAGTGAAAGTGACAGAAGATAAAGAAACCAAAGCAGCAAAGAAGTCCTAGAAGATGAAAGGCCTACTGGATGCAGAAAAGGAAAATACCCCAATTTACTTTGAGAAACAGCACTAGAAGCTACTGAAATAAAAAAGATAATAAAGTAATACTATGAAAAACTGTATGCCAACAAATTAAATAATTTAAATGAAACAAATTCCCAGAGAGATACAAACTACTACAAAGGACTTAGAAATGAAAAAAATCTAATTAGACTAATACCAAATAAAGAGAATGAAAGTAAGTATTTAAAAGCATACTTTATACAAAGAAAAGCACAGGCCCAAATGGCTTCAATGGTGAATTCTATCAAAAGTTAAAGAATTAATATCAATCCTTCATAAACTCCAAAAACTATGAGGAAATACTTCCCAACTCACTCTATGAGGGCAGTATTCTTCTAATATCAAAACCAGACAAAATTATTACGAGAAAACTACAGACCAATATCCTTTATAATATAAATACAAAAAATCCTCAACAATATGTGACCCACCAACATATTAAAAAAAAGAAAATCATACAAGGGCTGGGAGTATAGTATATGCTGAGGCCCTGGACTCAATCTCCAGCACAAAAAAAAAAAAAAAAAAAAAAGATTAGTTAATATCTAAAATCAACTCATGCAATTTACTATGCAAACAGAACAAAGGACAAAATCACAGAATTATCTCAATGGATGCAAAAAAAAAAATAGCAGCAGCAAAATTTAGAATCTTCCTCTTATTAAAAAAACAAAACAAAATATTTAACTACCTAAAAATACAAATACCAGAGAACTTCCTCAACATGATAGAGGATACCTAGAGACTTCATACTTAATGAGGAAAAACAGGATGCTTTCCCCTAAAGGGATGTCTAAATAAGTAAAGTTATCCTTATTTACGAGTTATTGTATATAGAAAAGCTTAAGAAATTTACTTTAAAAAAATAAAAAATACCTACTAGAACTAATAAATGAGGTCAGCAAGACTGTAGGTGACAACAAGACCTGTATATAAAAATCAAATTACTTCCTAGACAAAGTCAGTAAGACTCTATCTTAAAAACAAAATAAAAAGCAAAATGGCTGGGGGCATGGCTCAAGTGGTAGAGCACTTGCTTAGCAAGCATGCAGCCCTGGTTCAGTCCCCCAGCAATGGAGAGAAAAAAAAAATCAAAGAAATTGTAAAAAGTCCACATAACTAGAAAAATATCCCTATACATGGATCAGAAGACACAGCACTGTTAAGAAGGCAACATTCCTCCAATTGATCTACAGATTCAACTCAATCTATATCAAAACTATGATGCATTTTCCCATAAGCTGACAAACTGATCCTAAGACTCATATGCAAATGAAAGAAATCAATAAAATAACCAAAAAATCTTGAAAATAGAAGAACAAAGTTGGAAGATTCATATTTCACAATTTCAAAACTTACCATAAAACTACAATAATCAAGCCAGTGCGACAGGAACAAAGTCCCTGGCGAATGAGCCGAGCGGAAGGTCCCTAAGGGCTCACACTTACTGCTGCTTTTTCAAAACATCTTTTTGGTTTTCTTTTCTTTGTCTTTTTATTTTCTTGGACTCCTACATTTATAATCAAATGATCTTCAATAAAAGTACCAGAACAATTAAGTGGGAGAAAGAATAGTCTTCAACAAATGGTCCTGGAATAACTAGACAGCCACACACAAAAGAATGGAGTTGAACCTCAACCTCTCACCCTGCTCAAAAGCAACTGAAAACAGATCACAGACCTAAATGTAAAAACTACAATCAAAAAATTTTTACAACACAAGTTTTACAATACTTGACCTTGCAGTAGGTTTTAGCTATTGCCACCAAAAACACATGTGACAAAATAAAAAACTGAACTTCCTCAAAATGTAAAAACTTTTGTGCTACAATTGCCAATATCAAGAAAAGATCACCTAGAGAACTGGAAATGTCTAGAAATCACGTTTACCGTATATTTACCAGAGACTTATATTCAGAATAAACAGAACTCTTGTACCTCCATAATATAAAACTACTAAAGGCTGGGGCACAGCCCAAGTGGTAGAACCTAGCAAGCATGAGGACCTGAATTCACACACACCTGTACCAACAAAACACAAAACAAAAAAGGGCTAATAACCAATTTTTTAAAAAGTGGACAAAGGCAGGCCTGCTGGTTCAAGCCTGTAATCTCAGAACTTAATAGGCTGAGGCAGGAGCATTTAGGGTTCAAGGCCAGCTTAAGCTACATTAAGGACACCATCTCATAAAACCAAAACAGCTGGGCACTGGTGGCTCATGCCTATAATCCTAGCTACTTAGAAGGCAGAGCCAGGAGGATCAAAGTTTGAAGCCAGCCTAGGAAAATAGTTCAAAAGACCCTATCTTGAAAATAAAACACAAAACGAGGCTGGCTGTGGAGACTGGATTATGAGAAGCCTATGAGGATATTAGCACAGCTATGCCCAATGTTCTGTAGGCTGAGTTTGGCACAGCCCTGGCCACAGAATAAGGTAAGAATAAGGTGCAGAGCAGCTACTTTTCCTAAAATGTTTCTGCAGGCTGAGACTGGCACAGCCCAAGCCACAGAAGAGAAAAATGCAAATCAGCTGCTTTTCCTAAGTTGTTTATGTTCAGAGAGGTAGACTGCAGGTTTCTCTTGTTACAATGTCATGCCCCAAACAGAGAGCTGTTGCCCCACCCTCCTTGTTTACCACTGGATATAAAAGACTCCTGAAGGAGGACAGGAGACTTTTGCTTTTGGCTTTTTGATGCAGGAGGCTTTGGAAGGGAAAAGAATTGCTGAAGGAGAATTGCCAAAGCTAAAAAGAGAACATAGGACTGTGCAAGTCTGCACCAAGAACTTTATACATAGGCTTTAGAAAAGCTAAGCTAGAGAAAAGCTACAGAGAACATGAGACAGTGCAAGTCTGAGCACCGAGGCTTTAAGAAAGCTACAGAGAGAGCATGGGACAATGGAAGTCTGAGGGCAAAGACTTTAAGAGAGATTATGCCAAAGAAAAGCAAAGGAAAACATAGGCCAGAGCGAGTCTAAGGAAAAAGACTTTAAAGAACTGAAAAAGACAACTTTAAAAGCAAGGTTTTAAGGAAGACTTTTAGAAGCAAGATTTTAAAGAACTGTAAAGGAGTAAGGTCTTAAAGAATACAAATAGAGAAAATAAGCAGAGTAAAAACAAATAAATAAAATAACTGAGGGTTGTGCATCTTCATCCAAGCGCCCAACACACCTGGCCCCAACTTTTGTCTGTCTATCCTGTGTCTTTTCTACATCTCCCATCGCCACCCAGTTAGGCCCAATTAGGTTCAATAGTAACAAGGGAGCAAGAGAAAAGCTCACTCCAGCTGGCAGAGTGGCTCAAGTGGTAGAGTGCCTGCCTAGCAAGCATGAGACCCTGAGTTCAAACCCCAGAATCACCAAAAAAAAAAAAAAAAAAAAAAAAATTCACTCTTACTAGGACGGCTTTAATTAATCATGGAGATGATAATAAGTGCCATCAAGAATATGGTGTTAACTGTAACCCTTCCTTACAGATTACTGATGAGAATATTAAATTGACAGCCACTTGGAAAGCAAGCTTGGCCATTCCTCCATTAAACACGGAGAGAGATATATATGACTGGGGAATTCCACTTCTGCAAACATGGAGAAATAAAACAAACATCCACATAAAAACTTGTACATTAAGGGTGGAGATGTAGCTCAGTGGTAGAGTTCTTGCACAGTATGCACAAGACCCTGGGTTCCACCAGCAGCACTGCACAAAAACAGTAGTTGTGGACTGGAGGTATGGCTCAAGCACTAGAGCACCTTCCTTACAAGTATGAAGGAAACTTGTATATTAATGTCCACAGCAGCATTATTCAAATAAATAGGCAAAATGCTGGAAAAACCCAAATGTCCACTAATTAGCGAACATACAAAATGTAAGCTATTTTTGAGGACTGAAAAGGAATTAAGTACTGATATATGGTACAACACAGATAAACCTTGAAGACATTATGCTAAATTAAAGGTCACCTATTCTATGACTTTTTTATATGAAGTGTTCTAAACAGGCAAATGTATAGAAAAAGAAAGTAGATTAGTATTTGCCTATGGCATAGTGAGTGTGAGGAATGACTGCTAATGGATACAGACTTTTTTGGGGGGAGATGAAGAAAATGTTTTAAACTTAGACTGTGATGATGGTTGCACAATTCTATGAACTGATTCAGTATTAGGGTTTGAACTCAGAACCTCATGCTTACTAGTCAGGCACTCTACCATTGGAGTCACTCTGTCAGCCCAATTTGTATGTGAACTACAATTCAATAAAACTGTTCAATACTTTGAGAGCCAGAGCATATAGAAGCAGCCTGGGTTGAGGAACAAATACAATGTAGCATTCTGGTGGCAATTACGAGTAACACTGATGAAATAAAATGATACTATATACAATAACAATAGTAAATTAGGAAAAACAGTGATTCCTTTATTTGATAATAAGCTAAAATGCAAAAGCTAGTTCCTAAAAAAGTGAACTCTACCTCCTTGGAAAAGAACCAAAGCAGAACTCAAAAACATAGAAAAAAATAGAAAAGCAGTGTGACAAGGGAAATTAATGCACTAAAGTGCTTGATAACCAGAGTAAAGCCTTCTTCTCTGCCAGTCTACCTCTGTTCACAGTACTGGGGATGGAACCCAGGGCC